TTTGATTTGTTTAAAAATTTTGATAGCTAATTAAAGTATTTGGCTCGCTTAGGATGGATGCTAGGACTTCAAGTGCATTTAAGTTTATTAACTGAGGTATTATTTCATTTTTAAAAAATAAATTTTGGAATATTAACTTTTTTTTCACCTTTTCAACATTTTTGGAACCTATAAGGAGTACACCAAAGGAGATCATCAAAGTTCTATTTAAATCACCAGCATTATTTCTGCGGTACAATTTCATTTGCTGGGTAGAGGGTTCTTTGTGGAAGGAAGGGACTTTTGTTGTTGTTTCTAACTTTGTGCTCTTCCTCCCCTTATCTGAGAGTCCACCACTGAAGATACTGTAACCTTGCTGTTGTGTGGGTACAGCAGTGGGGAGCTGCTGAGGATGGCATCACAGCAGAGCTGGCCTCCAGAAATTGCCCTAAGAGGTTGGGCACTCATGACGTGGAGCAGGGAGCTGGGTAACTGGGACTGCAGGCACCACTGGAGGGCCTTATGCAGTGGGATCTTCTCAGTCAAAATTCACAAGTGTACATGAGATGGTTGTAGCCTGTAAGGAACATGAGAGCAGGGAAGATCAAGATATATACAGACAATGCAGCCTAAGTAGTACCTTCTAGAGGCCATATGACTGAAATGGCTATTAGTTGTTTGGGGCTGCCAGAAGGTGGAAGAGGAAGGAAGGATCCTTCCCTTTTAGGTTTAGGAGAATGAATGGCCCTGTGATGCCTTGAGTTGGATTTGTAGCTTCTAGACCTGGGAAATAATACATTATTGTTCTAAATCACTCAGTTTGTGGTACTTTGTTACCACACTCTCAGGAAACTAATATACTACTCAAATCTCAGTTCAAAATAGAAATGGAACCCATCAGTAATATACTGTAAATTCTTTTCTGAACCTAACAGAGAGTGATAAAAGTTAATGGTTAATTAAAAAGCCTTTATTTTTGTTTTACGATTCATAAAAGTGAATATATTAATGGAAGATGGTTGGTGATTTGTGGTAAATATGCCTTGTGTTAAAGGGTAGAAATTAATCCTTCTGGATGGTCTTCATTTCTTTGATTAGTGTTTTAGAAGTCCTGCTTTTCATTTAAAGCTCTCTGCCTTCCCTATGAATAAATTGAGCATTAAAAGAATTATTCTGTGGCTGGGGGCTGTGGCTCAGCGGTAGCACACTTGCCTGGCATGTGTGAGGCACTGGGTTCGATTCTCAGCACCACATATAAATAAATAAAATAAAAGTCTACCAACAACTTAAAAAAAAAAAGAGACATTCTAATATTATTAAAACTATGAAGCTGGGTGTGGTGGTGCACACCTGTAATTCCAGCCACTCAGGAGGTTGAGGAAGGAAGATTGAAAGTTTGAGGGCACACAATTTAGTGAGACCCTGTCTCAAAATAAAATAGAAGGGATTGTGATATAGCCAAGGTAGTCCAAGGTACAGAGCACTTGCCTAGCATGTACAGTGACATAGGTTCAATACTCTGTACTGCAAAAAAAAAACTCAAACAAAAAATAGACTATAAAGTAAGGATTATAGTTTTAGAAAATGCATTGGTGTTGAAATGGTTTGTGGTTTCTCTGTATAACAAACCCCTAAAGCCTTGCTTTCCATTCAGTTTACATAGTTAGATTGAGAGTTCATCTTCGTTTTGAGTGCTGAGAACTAGCAACTAAAATACAATTGAGACTGGGTGGCAGGCCCCATTTTAATACTAAGGGCTGGGTAAGATAATGTCTTTTTTTTTTTTTTTTTTTGTAGTGGGGATTGAACCCTGCACATTGCACATGCTAGGAAGGTGCTCTACCACTGAGCTACACCCCAGCCCCTTATGTTTTATTTATTTATTTACATTTACATTTTGAAACAAGGTTTCACTAAGTTTCTCAGGCTGGCCTTGAAATTATAATCCTTCCACTTCATCTTCTTGTATAACTGAGACTATGGGAATGTGCTACCATGCTCTGCTAGAATAATGTCTTGACTAGATATAATGTATCACTGACTACTATATTATTTTATTCCCTGGGTTTTTAAAAAATTGCAAAAGCAATATAGTTTTTCATTTAGAGGCTACAGATAATAAATGGCTACATGTTTTTCTCTATTCTAGGGTAAGGAGGAAGGATATATAAAAAAGTGAAATTATCCATGTGACAGATATTTAGGTAGTACCTGCTGCATTCCATATTCTTGGAGCTTAGCATAAAACCAAACAAAATCCCTGCCCTCATGGGGGTAGGTGGCAAGCAGTGGGCCAGGTTGAAAAGTAGGATAGTTAGGAGTGGGCAGCAGTGCTCCCATCTGGTCACAAGGTGGCGGCCTCACACAGTGGAGAGGGACTGCTGGCTCAGTGAGTGTGCTTGGGTGGCTCCCTCATCACTGACTTGGAGTGGGGGTTGCCCTGTGGCTTTGTGTGTTAATCTACAGTAAGGTCATAATCTGCCAAGAGAGCAAGAGATCATAAAGCTATCTTAGTGAAAGAAGTCTTTTGGGTGGCCAGAATTCCTATAGATTTTTACACAAAATAAAGATGTAGAGATGTAATTTTCTGTTTTCTTTACTGTGTTCAAGTAATATGTAGCTTAATAATGGAAGCAAACTTTAAGGGTTAACTGCAAAGAGGAAATTTTAAACTACTGATAGTTTTGTCTTAGTTTTCTACATTTTGTTTTTTTGTCTGTGACTGCATGTGGTATGTATATTATATGATTATGTATTTGTGCATGCGTATAAATACTATTTTTATTCAACACCTACAGATATGCAACTACATGGTTTTTAAAGCATCTTAGTCATTGATAGTTGATTTCTTAGGTTATCTAGGATTAGTGGGACAAAAGAAAAGAATTACAGTAAAAGTCATGTCATAGCTCAACATATCTTAAAAGAGCGGAAAAAACAACTCTGATTTAGGAAATAAGAAATAGCGCAAGTGATGKTATCCTAGTTTCTGAGAAACATTTTAAGAGAAGCTTTGCCAGCTAGTTTTGTAATCTCTATCTGGTCTGAATATGAACCTTTAGGTTCTAATCTTTCTTCTTTGGCAGGAAAACTTAAGAGACTGCCTTAGTTTCTTCCTCCAGAGCTTTTGGAATGCCATGTAGTTCTCAGCAGTTCCTAGGAGTTTATCTGGGCTTTCTCTAGCCTTCTCAGACCACTAGGTTAAAGCGTTGTCCCCTCTCACTTTTTTCATTTTTTGTGGTACTGGGGATAGAATCCAGGAGCTCGTATATGCAAGGCAAGTACTCAACCACTGAATTATATCTCCAGTCCTTTTTTTTTTTTTTGATACCAGGGGTTGAACCTAGGAGCACTTAACCACTGAGCCACATCCCCATCCTTTTTTATTTTTTATGCTGAAACCAGGTCTCACTAAGTTGCCCAGGTTGGCCTTAGATTTGTGATCTTCCTGCCTCAACCTCTGGAGTAGCTGGTTTTACAAGCATGTGACTCCACACCCAGCAACCTGCCCCTTCTCTTTTTTTTTTTTTTTTTTTTAAAGAGAGAGTGAGAGAGGGGAGAGAGAGAGAAAGAGAGAATTTTTAATATTTATTTATTTTTTTTAGTTCTCGGTGGACACAACATTTTTGTTGGTATGTGGTGCTGAGGATCGAACCCGGGCCGCACGCATGCCAGGCGAGCGCGCTACCGCTGAGCCACATCTYCAGCCCCTGCCCCTTCTCTTTTGTCTGCTCTTAAATGAGGACTTGTTTGTTATACTTTTCTCCTTGAGGGTGGAATAACATTGTTTTCCAGCTGAGACTTTCCCTTATCACTGAGGCCTTCTTTACCCTCTGTGTTTGCTCCTTCACCAAGTGGTGGCTGAGTTCCCATGCTCGCCTATGCTGCATGTGCCTTGTGTTCATTTCGTTTTGTTAGTGATGAGAGATGACAGCTGTKGTCCTGAAGCAGTTGTACTCAAAGTGTGGATTTTCAGACATCAGAAATGTGAATTCTCAGGTCTACCCAGGCCCACTGCATAAGAAACTCCATGGATAGAGCCTAAATCCTGATTCTGATGTATGCTCAAGTTTGAGAATCACTGTTGAATTAGAGACATTATACCGAGTGTTTAGCACTATTCTCAAATCTTRGAATATATGAGTGTAAAAATGGATGATTTTGCTGGATGTGGAGGTACTCACCTRTGTTGCTGGTTACCAGAGAGACTGAGACAGGAGGATTGCAAGTTCAAGGCCAGCCTGGGCAACTTGGTGTGACCTTGACTCATAATAAAAAAATAAAAAGGCTGGTGATGTAGCTCAGTAAGCACAAGGCCCTGAGTTCAACCCTTAGTACTGACAAAAGCCAAAATTCCCAGATGATTTCTCAACCCTTCTGGAAAAAAAAAAAATTAAAAATTTATGTTAGGTATTTGATTTTTTGAACATCGGTATTTCTAAAATGAAAGTATTTGAAGTTGTTTTTCTAGGCCATTTGTGACTCATCAACTAAGTGAATGTGGTGGAAAGGAAGCATGACTAGTTCCTACCCCTCCACTACAGCATTTTCTCCTCTTGATCTCTGTTGCTTCCCTCCTCCATTGACTGCTTCTGCAGTTGTTCCCATTGAGTCAGTCTGCCAGTTGGTGGGACTTGCTGTATGAATCAGCCTGTGCTGGCACCATCGACTCACTGAGCTGCTTCTGCTTCATCGGGAACCATGAGACAGTCGGCTTCTCTGCTCTGCCTTCAGTTTTTTAAATACCATTTTCTTGAAGCCTTGAGTTCATGTCTGGCAGTAAACTAAGGCCTTAAAAGCCCAAAACAAAACAATAAAAAGAAGCACTTTCTCCTCTGGACTAAAAACTGATAAGAACTTAACAGAGTATTGGTTATTTAAGGACTGCTTAGATATCAGAAATGTAACTACTTCAGCTAAGAAGTCAGTGCAGGCTTTACCAAAGGAAGATTGGGCAAATGATGCTTAGGAGAGATTCATGATTTGGCATGTCTTGAGTATTTTATGTCTCTTTCTCCTAGACCTGGAAAGGAAGGAGCAAGAATTAGAGCAGCTGAAACTGGACTGTGAGCATTTCAAAGCCCGCCTGGAAACGGTGCAGGCCGACAGCGGGAGGGAGAAGAAGGTAGGGTGCTCGACACTGGCTCTTCACCAGTCAGGACTGTGTACTTGCTGCCTTTTGCTCATGATGAGCAGCAGGTCTTAACAGTTTCTCTCTTAATCCCAAGGGATTGTATTTTTTAAAAGTATGTATTCCTGGACAGGCATGGTGGCGCACGCCTATAATCCCAGCAGTTTGGGAGGCTGAGACAGGAGGATTATGAGTTCAAAGCCAGCAACAGCGAGGCACTGAGCAACTCAGTGATCTACATCCCCAGCCTTTTTATTTAGAGACCCTGTCTCTAAATAAAATACAAAACAGGGCTGGAGACGCGGTTCAGTGGTCTAGTGCCCCTGAGTTTAATCCCTGGTACCACAAAAAAAGTATGTATTCCACATGCGTTGGAAGGCAGGTGAGAAATTGGATTTTATAATTGTTTAACATGTAGATTGTTTGCTTGGTGCCTTTTTATTTTTGAGAGGAAGAGAGAATTTTTTTTTTTTAATATTTTTTAGTTTTTGGCAGACATAACATCTTTGTTTGTATGTGGTGCTAAGGATCGAACCTGGGCCGCATGCATGCCAGGCGAGCGCACTACCGCTTGAGCCACATCCCCAGCCCCGAGAGAATTTTTTTTTTTTTTTTTTTTTTTTTTAGAGGAGGAAAAGTTTATTGGAGGGCTCACAGTTTCAGAGATCTCAGTCCATAGAAGGCTGACTCAATTCTTCTGGGTTCAAGATGAGTTAGAACATCATGGCCCAAGAGCATGGCAGAGGGAAGTAGTTCACATTATCAGGAAACAGAGACACCACTTGCTAGATACAAATATATACACAAAGACATGCCCTGATTCCCACCTCTTCCAGCCACACCGAGAGAATTTTTAATATTTATTTATTTTTTTWAAGTTTTCTGCGGACACAACATCTTTGTTTGTATGTGGTGCTGAGGATCGAACCTGGGCCGCACGCATGCCAGGCGAGCGCGCTACCGCTTGAGCCACATCCCCAGCCTCCTTTTTATTTTTGTATCTAAAAGTCTACTCTGAAGCATAAAAGACTCATAATGTAATACACTAGAGAAAATATTGTGCACATCATGACTTATAATTGGAGATATTAAACCAGAAGTAGTTATAATTGATTTAGGTATCTTCTGATGATATATTAGAAATAACCAAATATATTTTATTCTGATATTAGGAGATGCTATAATATTCCAAATATTTTAAAAAATTAGTGGCATAAATTATTCTTCTGTAAAACTAGATTGATTGGGGGCTTATATACCTTTTAATTTAGAATAATGAAACAGTAATAGTACTAATAATAGCAGCTAGTGTATGTTGGATGTTTACTCTGTGCTGGCAGGGGGTATACAGCTGTCCGAGTCTTATGCTTCTCCCACCACAGGGGTATCAGCAAGTACCACTGCTGGTAGTTACATAGCTGATCCAAGCTCACACTGCCTGTGTGCTAACTTGGGTTTCATACCACCTCCTCACACAAAGGAATTCTGAATGTTTGTGGTTTCTGTAGAGGTTTCCAAAACTGAGCAAGCACGGGTAAGAGTTTTATTCTTAAATTTGAGTTAGATTGAGTAGCTCATACTTAAGGTTGGAAGTTTAGTTTTGCCATATTTTATTTAGATCACGATAAACTAAAATGTCAGTTGGTTAGTTACAGACTAAACATTCCATGGTCTGAAAGAAAATGACCAGCAGACAAGAAAGAATTTGATATATGTAAAAAGTGTAGTTCATTTGTCCTGTCCTTCCGTAAATTGCTGAGATGCCTTGTTAAAGCTGAAGCTTAGATTGAGCAGAGTCTTACATTTCTTTCTTTCTTTTTTTTTTGGTACTGGAGAGTGAACCCAGGGACACTTAACACTGAGCTACATCCATAGCCCTTTTTATTTTGAGACAGGGTCTTASTAAATTGYTGAGGGTAGTGTTAAATTTACAAACCTCTGGCCTTGAACTTTTGAGTTGCCGGAATTACCGGTGTTCACCACCACATCTGGGATAGATTTCCTTTTTTAAAAAGTCAGTAGCCATATAAAAAGTGGATGTTTTGCTGGTGTTCCAAACGTAATGATTAAAATAAGTCATTCCAGTAAATGCCTTGAAAACTACTTTCAGATCATCGGGGTACTGTTACTGTTGTGGTACTTTGACCTTAGTTAAAATATGAGACTATTTTACCTTAAAATATTTTCTATTTTTGAGTTTTCTGTTTAATACAGATGGAAGCCCCTGCAAGTTTCCTAGAACTAGGCCGTTTTTCTTTGGCAGCTGTCACCGGTAGTTACAAAAAGTCCAGGGGAGGTCCCTATATCCTTCTTCTCGTTCTTCCAGTGATATCTTGCGTAACTGTAAAAAGCAGGAATTTGTATTGATGTAATCCACACACCTTATTCAAGCTCACATGTTTTTCCTAGRCTTTCTACCCCACCAGTTTCGTGCATACTTATTTGTGTGTGCGCATGTGAATGTAGTTCTGTGCAATCTCAAGACATCTGTAGATTTATGTAACCATCAGAACTATTCCTTCACCATAGGCTCCAGTTGTCCTATCACTTGTGACCAYACCCACCCCCTCCCTATTCCCAGTTCCTGGCAGTCGCCAATGCATTTTTCATCTCATTGCTTTGTTTTTTTCAAGACTGTCCAAAAAATAGAATCACATACTAAGTGACAATTGAGATTGGTATTTTTGCTCACATGTATCTGAGTTGTTGCATGTATCAATAGTTAGTTCTTTTATATTCATAATGTTCCATGGTGTTGATATGTCACAGTTTTTAAAATTATTCCCCATTGAAGCACAATCCAGATTGTTTCCAATTTTTTTGCTGTCACTAATAAGGGTATTAGGAACATTCCTATGAGTTTTTATATGAATATGTATTTTCATTTCTCTKGMTAAATGCCTTAGAGTATAATTGTTTTGTCATATGGTAAGTGCATGACTAGTTTTGTAAGAAATTGCCAAATTGTTTTCCAGAGTGGCTGCATGGTTATATATTTATATATTATGGCCAGCAATATATGAGTGAGTCACATTCTCCACATTCCTAACCTACATTTGGTGTTATTACTTTAGCCATTCCCCCCCCCCCCCCCCAAGAATGGGGTCTTGCTAGGTTGCTTGAGCTATTCTCAGACTCCTGGGCATAAGGGATCTTCCTGCCTCAGCCTCTCAGGTAACTGAGACTACAGGTACATGTTACCATGCCTGGGTTTTTATTGTAGACATTCTGTTAGGTGTGCTGTGGTTTTAATTTGTATATCCCAATGGTGAATGGCATGTCTTTTCCTGTGCTTGTTTGCTGTCTGTGTTTTCTCCTCTCTGAAATGTCTCTTCATGTCTTTTGCACAAGCTCTAATTGGATTTTTTTAAACATGAGTTTGAATTTTTTTCTTTCTCTCTTTTTATGGTACTCAGAAGTGAAACCGAGGCCTTACATGTTTTTGGCAAGTGCTCTATCACTGAGCTATTCCCCAGACTTTTTAAAAAAAATTTATTTTGAGTCAGAGTCTTGCTAAGTTTCTCGGACTGGCCTTGAACTTGTAATCCTCTTGTCTCAGTCAGCCCTAAGATTATAGGACTGTAACACCATGCCTGGCTGGGTTCTTTGAGTTTCTTTTGATGTTGTACTATGTGTTTAGCCCTGTGCTGGATTATATCACCTCAGCTGTCATAATGTGACCATGGGGGGACAGTCCTGCTTTCTCATCTCAGTGGTTCTTCTGTGGTCTTGTGGAAGAACTGCCAAAAGCAGACTTATTGGAATGCAGACTGCTTTAATTGTGAGAAAAACTAGAAATCCAGATAGATAGAATTTTTGTGTGTGTCTCCATGACTTGAGTGACACACACCTGAAGTCTAAAATCTAGACTGCTTTAGGAGATAAAGCCCAGCATGAAAGCTCCAGGGTTTATAAATGACATTAAGCAACATTAGCTTCTGTCATAGGCTCAGTGACCATGTTTGTCCTAAAATAAGTGTGTATATCTGTGTGACTGTGTATGAGTCTCTGTGTACAGACGTGTGGTCTTTAGGTGAATAGGAGTGGACCACCTGATGGAAAGTTTTGAGGTCAGAAGTATTTGACTCATGCCACAGGTTGGTTCCCTTTTCTCTCCCAGGTGAAAAGCCCTTTTCCTTTAGTTGGCCTGTGCTTATGTCTTTAAAAGAAACCTAACACATCCAATATACCTTGATTTTTATGGCTTATTTAATTATGTTGGTGTAAATGAATTTAACTAGGTTTTTATATTTTTTAGTTTCTCTCTCTCTCTCTCTCTCTTTTTTTTTTTTTTTTTTTTTGGTGTTAGAGGTTGAACTCAGGCCTCATGCATTCTAGGCAAGTACACTACTGTTGAGCCACACTCCCAGGTCAGTTTCTCTTTTAAATCAGAAAAGGCTGTCATCTTTTAAGGGAATTCCAGCCATCAGAGAAGTATGGACCTGGTGCTAGTTGTTGGAGAGGGCAGGAAGCCCTGCATCAGCTCAGGCCTACCCAAAGGTAAATCCTTGAGGCATGCTTATATGGTCAGGGTCCATCAGGAGGGTAGCTCCCTGTCTTTCCCTTTGAAGAGAGCCTGGCAGAGACTGGAGGGAGGGTAAGAACCATCTCCTGGTCTTTGCTGTCTTGGTACACTGCATGGTGCCAGGGTGTCTGTGGGACACCCACCTTTACTTTCCCTCCTGCGCCTGTGCTGTAGCTTTCCTGCCTGCTCTTAGCTCTGGTATTTGTTCCTTGTTTGGCTTTACAGGTGTGTATTTCATATTCACCAGCACCTTGATCATATTCTCATGAGGATTTGCGGATGCGTTTGCCTGGAAGCAATCTTTTTATGGTGCTCATATTCCTCAAGTCCATTTGGGTGAATGAGTACCTTTACCTCAGTGTCTGCTCTGGCAGGTGGTATTTAGACAGTGGAGTGAGCCATTGGGAGGCAGTAGCACTCTTAATGGCAGTGGCTTGAACTTTAGGTTGCTACTTTGCTCAGGCATCCTTGTGATGCTGTTCTCATTGTGGACACTTGGGACCTGAGTTTTGCCTCCTGTTTTCACTTCTCTTAAAGCAGTTAATTCAGATCTTTGGGTTATTTATAAACGTAAATGCAGTAGTATGTTTTTTCTAGGACTGGAGGTTTATCTTTTAGACGTGGATTGCAACTCTTTCAGGACTAGTTTTCATTTGCCATTTTTTTCTATGATTCTGCATGCATTTCTTTAAAAATATCTGTGAAGAGGAATTTTGAAGTCAAATGCTAGTGTCTGTTTTTCTGATTTTATTTTGTTGTGAATTTAGGAGAAGCTGGCTCTTCGACAGCAGCTGAATGAAGCAAAGCAGCAGCTCCTACAGCAGGCAGAATATTGTACAGAAATGGGAGCGGCCGCCTGCACCCTCCTGTGGGGTGTCTCCAGCAGCGAGGAAGTTGTCAAAGCCATTCTGGGAGGAGTAAGCATGGCCAGTGGTCGTCCGGGTATTGTTTGAATGTGCTCGTGTGACTTGGAGGAGACAGAACATTTAGAGACTGAATCTATGCTGTTGTCCGTTTGCTTTAGCTGCATCCTTAGTCATCACATACCTACTGTGTAGTGTCCCTTGTAACTTGGTCCTCTGGAGACATCTAATATGATGAAACATGATCTCTTGTCTCCTAGCACCCATGGGCATACCACTTTAGTATGGTCATTTGATATGTGAAGAGCTTAACAAGGTTAAAGTTCTTTTATGTATTTTATCTCATGGATAATGGAGTACTTAGTTTTTTGAATATTGTATATGTTAATTATGGGTGCATGTGTGTTTAGAGATTTTGTATATATTTTTTATGTATCTGTATATTGGGAAACTCCCTAGAAAGAGAATTTGAAATGGGCTTTGATGAATAAGATAGYAGAAAATGGGAAGGGCAGCTCAAGACGACAGAGCCAGTGTAATCAAAGACATGGAATCAGAAGTCTGTCTGTTGTAGGACAGTGAGGAGGTCAGTGGAGGGTAGTGGGAGATAAGGCTTTCCAGGTAGGTTGGAATGTGGTTTTGTGACCTGAGATACCAGGGTGATGAGTTTACCTTACAGGTAGGAGGACTAGGTTCTCTAAGGGTTTTGAGTATAAGAGTGATAGGACAAGAGTAGAATTTTAGGAAGATTAACTGGCAGTGAATGAAGATGGGTCAGAAGATGGAGTGGTGGAGTTTTGGATGGGRCAGGAAGATTAGCATACCTACTTTGGAGGAGATAGAAAGAGTCCCAGGTGAGAACCGTGTGGTTGAGGCAGAGCTGACAGCTGAGGGAAAGAGTATAGCATGGAGCATGGGGCTAGACCTGGGGATGGATTGGGCACAGAGGGAACAAGGGTACGGGCGCCTTTGGCAGGGAACCAGAAGTGTGTTACTTAGCACTTACAGAAATAGTGGTGTTTGACTTCAGGCAGAGAGATGAGAATATATTTCAAAAAGTGTGTTGAGTATGTACGGTATGATTTCCATACCTTAAAACCCACCCATTGTGTGATTCATGGTTTTTAGAAAACTAACTTTGAGACCACCATAGTATAGCCTTAGCATATTTCTTTTAATCACCCAAGAAGTTCCTTTGGTTACCCAGGACCTTGCACATGTTGGGCAAGTGCTCTACCATTGGGGTAGATCCCCAGCCCTTTTTATTTTTTATTTTCAGACACTTTTTTTTTTTTTTTTGACAGGATCTTGCTAAGTTGTCCAGGCTGGCCTCAGACTTCTGATCCTGCTGCCTCAGCCTCCTGAATAGCTGGGGATTATAGGCATGTGCCACCTTACTTGGTTTCCATTATTATTATTTTTTTAAAAAATATTTTTAGTTATAGATGGACACAAAACTTTTATTTTTATGTGGTGCTGAGAATTGGACCCTCATGTGCTAGGCAAACGCTCTACCACTGAGCTATAACCCCAGCTCTCCATTATGGTTTTGAGTCAGTTGGTCTTAATTCTCTCATCATTGTGTTAACTTCCTTTATTTCATATTGATCTATAAATATCTTTCGATGAGTCTTCAGGGTTATTTTTCTTGTTTTCACTTCCCCCAAACTGTTTTCTCTGAACTTTCAATGGAGGGGTAATTTTTTTTTTTTTTTTAATACAAGGGATTGAACCAGGGGCATTTTATCACTGAGTTATTTACATCCCCAGTCCCCCCCCCCTTTTTTTTTTTTTTAATAAATTTTGAGAGTGTCCCACTAAGTTGCCAAGGTTTGCCTTAAACTTACAATCCTGATTCAGCCTCCCGAGTTGCTGGGATTACAGGTTTGTGCCATCATTTCTTTCTAGAGGGATAGACTTTTAAATATTGCTTCTATAATTAAAACTAGGGTTTTTTGTATCCTGCACTTTAAAAATGTTTGTACACTAGTATCTGGGAAAAGATGTGATACTTCCATTTCCAAAATTTCAGGATAAAGCTTTGAAGTTTTTCCGCATCACTGGCCAGACAATGGAAAGTTTTGTGAAGTCACTGGATGGGGATGTCAAGGAACTCGATTCTGATGAAAATCAGTTTGTTTTTGCTTTGGCTGGAATTGTAACAAGTAAGTGATTCTTCTCAAACATAGTGGCTGTTATGTGCAGAGGTGGTGACAGTTGGGAGTGACCTCTCTGGACGTTTTCAGATATCTTCATGGGGCCTCAGCCTGGAGAATCTGACTATAGATCTGGAGTAGGTATGAAGTGTGTATATTTTGGAAAGTCACCCTCCCAGGGGATTCTGATAAATATCAGTTATTAAGAATGATCTAAGGAAACAGAGTAGTTTGTGTGTTCTGCTTGTCATTTGTATAAATAGAAGTAAAAAAAACTAAACTAAAATGTACATTTGGCTACTTGTGTTTTGGAATTATCATCATTTAACTAATATCTAGCTGGAGTAAGGAGCCTTAAGGTGAGCTTCACTTGAGTTCTCATTTTATCACATTCCCAAAACTTAGGTTGTCTCTAGTGAAGTGCTCCTGGAAGCTCATAAACTCTGTCTTTGCCTGAGAGTTCTGGTAAAATTCCATAGCAGACTGTTCTAGGGGATTACTGTGATGAGTGATACCTGTTGTGATGCTGTGAWCATTTGTGTACAAGTTTCTGTGTGGCTGTGTTTTCAGCTGTGTGTGTAGTTACCCGGCTGTGGATTAGAAGGGTCTTGTGGCAATTGTGCTTCACTTTTTGAGGTAGGTAGGAAAAGTGCCAGGCTGTTTGCCACCGTGGCTGTACTCGCCTTCTCCTRTCTACTTTCTCCATGTCTTGGGAACATCAGTCTTTTTTCAGTATGCAGGTATCTTTGTTGTGGTCATAGGTTGATTCTTTGAGCCCCATTTGGTCCTCATGCTGCTCAAACTCTAGGGAGACCATTGGGGACTGTCAGGATCCTTACCACGGTCATTGAACCTTCTAGAAGTAAGGTGAGTTTGTAGAGAGCTGATTTTCAGTTTGTGCATGATGGGCACAGTTTCCTTCTGCTTTTTCTGTGGTCAGCTGTTGGATCATCTGTCAGGAGAGGAGCTGAGCAGAAATATTTCAGACTCTAGGCAATGGAGAGGGAGCTGGCATAGGGCGGCTCTGTGGGAAGGAAGGTGTTCTGTAGCCTTGACCTGGACCATCTCACAGCTAGTCTGTTCCTGCCCCATGTGTTTCCAAGACAAGGCACTACCCTGCCCCCCTAAGCAGCATGGTGTCAGGTTTTACAGTGTGTGTTTTCTACAAGGCCTCCTCTGGGCACTGAATTGAGCCAGGGACATCACTGTGGGGCATTGTGTCATCAGTCAGGTATGCTGGGTGGGGAGAAAGTGTTGCACTGATGCACCTTCCCATGAGGAGGAGCCCCGTGTGTAGTTGATCATCAGTCAGTTGACTATAAGGAAAGGGTTGTGTATTTCCAGTTGGTCCTCCTAACAGTGATCCTGGCATGAGGACTAAAGGCTGTATTGAGGTCCACTGAGTTGCAGGTGCTCTGAGGCCAGTGACTGTGGGCCTGGGCTGCTGGATCAGAAGACKGGCTCTGATAGGTTGTGGGCCTTCCAGGACTGAATGTCTTGGATAGCCTGTCTCCTTTGGGCCCAATAATTCTGTTGGCAGGCTGTCCTATGCATTGTAAGATGTTTAGCCTTGTCCTTCACATCTGCCTATTGGAGGCCAGTAGCAAATCTCAAGGTGCAGCCACMCAAATGTCATCCCCCTGCCCATGCCGTTTTGAGAACCACTGCCCCAGCCATGGCCTGAACTCTCACGCATGTAGAGAGAGAACTTCATGGTCATCTGGGTATTGGAGGTGGTTGTTGAGAAGTCTGTTGAGATCACTGAAGGCTCTTTGGTTTCTGTGTTCTGTGGGTATGGTTCTGACATGTTAGATATTGTCTCATTATATGAGTGTTCTTGCTAGTTGAGAAGAATTTGACGTTTGTTATCTATATTATCTGTTTAGTCACAGAATTCTCTTATATGTCTTTCAGAGACCGGCTTGGATAATTGTAAACGTTGCTTAGAGTATGTTCTTCTTTCAGTTAACAGGCTGGGGCCTCTATCATGAGTTATTGTTGGTGGGACTAGGAGTTTTCATTTGGAAACTTATGTCTCCTCTTTAGTTAGCTCAGCCTTAGAGTTTTCTGGATTAGTGGAGTGACAGAGGAGATTAATACATCTTGGATCAGAGAGACCCTGTGGGGCTCCATGTGTCCTTTACATGGGCACATCTGGGCTGAAGACTTGAATGAAGTAGCTTGGATTTCTGGTGGACTAACTTTCTGGGTATTGTTGACTTTTCCATCTTTAGAGAATGGGACACCATGCTGTGTGCCATGCTGTTTCTGTAAAAAAAAAAAAAAATTAGCTTCAGGTGGATGAGGAGAGGGGTAGTATTGGGGTTAGGTCTGCCTTTGAAAGGGGGATTATGAATTTGGTATTTGTTCATAGATCTTAGAAGATCTACGTCTTTGACTATTAGTGTTTTAAAATAAGTGTTGTTAGGTGGTTGCAGGACCTGGTATAAGAATTACTTTTTTTTTTTAAGCTGGTCACAGTTGGCCTAAGACTTGGATGGCTTCAGTGGTAGATGGTGTCTGAGAAGCTAAGATGAAGACTGACAGTGATTTATCTGGATGTTTTGTCTAAGTGTGTAGGTTTTTCCTCATAGATATTCTGGGAGCCTGGTTAATTCCTTATTTCTTTTTTAAAAAAAAWTTTTTTAGTTGTAGATGAACACGATACCTTTATTTTTTAATTTATTTTTTATGTGGTGCTGAGGATTAAACCCAGTGCCTCACACATGCAAGGAGATGACTCTACCACTGAGCTACAACCCCAGTCCTTGATTATTTCTTGAATCACATATAATATTCAGATCAACTATAAGTTGTGTATGCAACAGTTTTATGATCCTCTCAAAATTATCCTCTGTTTAATATTTTGAGACAAGGTTTCCTATGGTTTCAAACTCCTGGGCTCAAGCAATCTTCTTGTCTCAGCCTCCAGAGTTGCTGGGACTATAGGCACATGCCACCATACCCTGCTCTGCAGTACCTTTTATCTGCCATTTGCAAAATGAATCTCTGGTGAAAAAATTTTGCAGGGGTGTGTCCCAGAGAAGGAAGAAGTGTTTTTCTCATTGTGGCACTAGAATAACAGTTACAGGTCAGGAAAAATGAAAGATGCTGGGAGTATTCTTATAGTGAGTGCAAGTGTAGCATTGTGGGAGAAAGTCTGAACTAATTAAAGAAGCAGGGCCTGTGCTTGCAGATAACCACAGGGACGCAGGGACTTGTGTTTGGAGGTTTTTCTTCATGTTGAGCAATAAGTTATAGCATTTGACTGGAAGCAAAGCATATCACTGTATGCCTTACCATTGATTTTTCTTACTGGACTTCCTAACAGTACTTACTCTGCAGTGGAAGGTTAGATAATTGGGCAGAAGCAGATTTTGCATGTAGAACATGAGCAAGTTGTAAGAGTCGCAGGAACATCTGACAGAATCGTTTGGCTCTTGTAGACTAGTGACATCCAACAGGGGGCAGTAGACTCAACTCTTTCAGACAGCCTTCCAGTCACAGGTGTTTCTCTCTGAGCTGACTTTTTGCACAGAAGCGAGGTTACCTGTAGTGGTAGGAAAATTGAATTTGAGGAATCACTTCTCAGCAGGACCAACATTCCCTTCAACTCTAGGGGGTTTCCTCTAAACAGTGCACAGAGGCAGAGCTCCCTGGTAGAGACTATCCACAGCCTTTGACTCTTTCCTGTTCCCCTAAGAGCTAAGTAAATGAATTGATAAGAAACTTGTCACCACCTGCTCAGGAAAATACAAAGAAACAAAAACCAAACAGCAAAAACAGGGCCAGAATGTTAATGTTAGAGAAAACATACAGAATTTTACTAATTTTTTTTTTTTTTTTTTTAAATAGAGTGTGTGTTAGTGTTTGCATGTAAAAGAGGTTTATAGAAGATAGGTCCAGGATGAGTAGTAGCAACCCAGTAGTAGTACATTATACATGAAAATTATATTTGTATCATTATTGTTAATTTGCTTTATTGAGGTACAGTTCATATGCCATATGTGAATTGGATAATTCATGGTTAAAGTACATTATTTGAATGGCTTTTAGTATACTCATATAGTTGTGCATTCATATCACAGTTTTTTAAAACATTTTGTCATCTCAAAAGAAACCTCATTTACTTTAGTCATCACCCCATTCCTGGCATTCAGCATGGGCATCCAAAAATCAAGCTTTTTTCTCTATAGATTTGCCTGTTTTGGTTCTATAAATGAAATCATGCAGTGTGTGACCCTTCATTTGCTCTTTTTGGTCTGGCTTATTTCACTTGACAGGATATTTTTGAAGTTCATTCATATTGTAGTACATGTCGGTGCTTTCTTTCTTTTCGTGGATGAGTAATATTCCAATGAATGAGTATTCCGTATTTTGTTTGCCCGTATATCAATTGATGGACATTTGGGTTCTTTCCACTTTTCAGTTATTCTGAATAAGGATTGTACAGATATGTTTGTGCAGATTTTTGTGTGGGTATATTTTCATGTGTTTTTTCTTATTAAGTATATAGCTATGAGTGGAATTGTTGGGTCAGTTCCACTGTTTGAAGAATTGTCAGACTATTTTTCCACAGTGGCCACACCACTTTACATTCCCACCAGCAGCGTGTGTAGTCTCCAGTTTTTCCATATCCTTCCCAACATTTAGTATCTGACTTTTTGATTATTGCTATCCTAGTGGATATAAAGTGGTGTATGATTGTGGTTTTGATTTTCATAGCCATGGTGGCTGATGATGTTGAGAACATCTTCTCATGTGCTCATTGTCTATTTATAATATCTCCTGTGAGAAATATCTGTTCAACTCCATTGCTTGTTTTTAAATCAGACTATCTTTTTAATTATTGAGTTGTAAGAGCTCTGTGTATATTCTAGATATTAGTGCCTTGTTGAATATATGATTTGCAGATATTTCTCTGATTCTGTGAGTTCTTCTCACTTTCTCAAAAGTGTATTATGAAACACAAACTTTTTATTTTTGATTATATCCAGTTTATCTTTCCTTCAATTGCTCATGCTTTTGGTGTCATTAAGAAACCATTGTCACAAATGTTGTGCATCTGTGGATCTCAGTTAGGTCAGTGACTCCTGTTCCAGGTTCCACTTACTGTGGATGCAGAGATCTTGATCATGACTCTCGCAGCCTGAGTACTATGGCATTTGAGGCTACAAGCCCAGGTATCTCTAATTCAGGGAGAGACTAGAAGATGAATTCCCAGCTACCTGTACCTCTGCCGCAAGGGACTCTCTAGCTCACTGGGTTCTGTGGTAGTTGGGAAGTTAGTTCACTCTAAGAAGAGAGATAATGGCTATGGAGAGCAAGTCTCTGAAGCTGGTGGCTGCCATCAAAGGCTCCTTGGCTCAGGGCTAGTGTGCCCAGAAGGCAGAGTCAAGGGACCTTGACCCAGCCTGGCAGAAAGCAGATGCTTTACTGCAGGAAGGCCTGAAATGTCTCTAGGACACCTGGTCTTTCATTGATGTTCTTGTGGCCTCTAGGGGTGGGGCAGAGATCCATGTCCCTGGTGTTTGCCTCTGGTCCACCTTTGCACACTTCCTGACTTCTCCCCTGTCCTGCCCCTGCCTTGCCCCCTTCACTTCTCTCCAGATTTGGGAGAGGTCCTGTCTCAGGCTTTCTTTGCAAGAGGAAGCTGAGAGAGGTCGGAGTGGGTTTAGCTGTTTATAGCAACTTTGGCAGCAATTCACAATTCACAAAACATTGTTTAATTCAAGGTCATAAGGTATTACTCCTGTATTTCTTTGTAAGAATTTATTATAGTTTTAGCTATTACATTTGGGTCTTTGATACATTTTGAATTAATTTTTGTATAGTGGAGGAAGGGATCTGGCTTAGTACCTGTGCACATGCATTTGTTGAAAAGGTTATTCTTTTATCCTTTCTCCACAGAATTGTTGAGGCACCCTTGTAGAGAGTTAATTGGCCTTAAATGTAAGGTTTATCTTGGAACCTTCAATTCTGCCATTGATTGGTGTGTCTATCATTATACTAGTACTCTCTTATTATTATTATTATTATTTTAAATATTTGTTTTTTAGGTGTAGATAGAAGACACAACACAATGCCTTTGTTTTTATGTGGTGCTGAGGATCGAACCTGGGTCCCGCCCGTGCTAGGCAAGTGCTCTACCGAGGAGCCACAATCTCAGCCCCTCTCTTATTATCTTTATTGCTGAAAAGATTATTACAACCCAAAGCAAAAATATTTAACATAATACATCTCAATCTACATATCTTTTCAGTATTTATACCTTACATCAGACTCATTTTTAAAAATTATATAATCACTACAGTAATCTCTAGAAATACCTTTAAAACATTTTAATGAAAATGAATCAAGAGAAGAACATTTTAATAGAAAATCAAACCAGTTCTTTGTTTATGGTGGATGATAATAGTCAATTCTATATGTCTTGAGTTGACTCACAGGTAAATATTCCAGACAGATTAGATATTGGTAAATAAAGTGCCAGCTATGATGTAAGATAAATGTGAATTCTGACAGGTTGATGAATCTTGGTACTTACTATCTGTAGAAGTTTATTCAGATTTTATGCTTCGGTTTGTGCTTAATTATTCATATGATATAGTAAAATGCAAAATTGGTATTTGCTATTACAGTACTGGATATGATATGGGACCTCATTTGCCAGAAAGTTTGGTGTGTTGGGAGTTGTTGCCTTCTATGATAATAATTTTTTTTTTTTTTGCTCTGCTCTTTATTTTCAGTGATGAAGTAGTAGTGTTCCTGTTTTACTATTGCTATGTAACAAACCACTCCAAAATGTCAAGTCTTAACATTAACAAAATTTCTTTTACTTGATCAGAACTGGGCAGGAAAATTTACTGCTACTCTCTAATATCTAAGCCCTCAGCTGGGATGTCTCAAGCTGCTGTAGGGTGGGACAGTGAGGGCTGGTGGGTGTCTTTTTTCTCTCTAACCTGGTGGAATCTCTGGGTCACATCAGTGTCCCCTCTCTGTGTAGTCTCTTCATCATGGCAGCCCCAGGTAGTGCAGGCTCCTAGAGCAAGTGGACAAGGGACCAAGGTGGGAACATGAGGCTTCATCCTACCTAGTGATGGGTACACAGCATTAATTCTGCTGTGTTCTGTGGTTACAAATGAGTCACAGTAGAAGGGACACCTCGGCTCTTTATGTTGGGGAATGGCTTATTGCGGAGACGTCCTTGTGGGCTAGCTACTAGAGTTACGGCTGGCTGATGGTTCCTGGTGGGTTTTGATGGCAGTCTTCTGGGCTTTCCTGAATGCTGCTTCTCCTTGAAAAGTTCCTTAGATTTCCCTTCTGTATATTAATGATGCCAAATGCTTAACTGCTTCATTTTCCCTTAAAAAATATTTCTTTARTAAAGCTGGAATGTATCACTGGCTAGATAATACAGTTGTCAGGTTAAAATGAATTAAACACAGAAGGTGAGTTTATGTCAAGGAATGGTTTTGTCCTTGATAAAGTTAGGGCTATTGTGAAGTTATGTACCAAGTGACATAGCAATTATGAGGCCAAAATGCTGGAAATACAAGGATAAATGGGAAAAATTACAGTAGATTTGGAGATTTTATATACCTCACATGGTTCTTCTCAACCCAGATAAACTAAATAAACAGGAACATGAAAAATCTGACTCTATACAGTTGATGTGGTAGCATCAATGAAATTTTATATTTTGCAGTCAGATTATGATTAATTGAAGGCAGGATAAGTATAAAATTCTTCCTCCATTTTTTATTATTCTTAGCAAACTAAAAATAGAAGAAAACTTCCTTAAACTGGTACAGGATATTTACCAGCAGCAGAGGAGACATCCCACTTAACTGTGGATCCCTAAAACATCCCATTAGAGCCAGGAGAAAGACAAGGGTGCTGCCTGGCTTCTCCCTGGCTCACTCATCCCATGTACAGCTCTTAGTCACTTTGAATCTTGCTTTATTGTCAGTCCTAACTAAAGACAACTCTTTTGCATAGGTACATCATGTACTTGGKTCACAGGTATTTGGGGATGTTGACAGGGCCAGCATTAGCCCCTGGACCCTGTGTAACGACTTGGTCTGGTCTCCATGCTGATTGGCTGGGCCTCAGGCATGAAGAAACATGCTTACTGATCACAACAGACTATAACATTTTGGAAAAATATATATTCAGAGTCAATTTTCATATTATTTTAGTTTTGTGCCATAGTTAAAATGCTCACAGGAGTAAAAGTGAATTTTAGAATGTTCAGTCTCAGGACTGTTATGAACCCCCACCTTGTGTTTAGATTTGATAGCCAGCAATCTCTGCTATGGGGCAAGGTGCTCAAGCAGTGGAGGTGTTGCTGCTCACATGGACATTGCTCCCTACTTTACTAACTCTGGTGGTTGTCCTTGGTGCTGGGATGACCGCTTTGTGAACAACAGTGGTTTTTAATGCCTCATCAGCTCTTTTCCTTAGTTCTCTTAGGAGAAAAACAGCAACAGGTCTTCCATTGGGACAGAATTTTGCAGATTCTTTTTTTTTTAAAGTTAATTTTTAAAATATTTATTTAGTTAGTTTTCTGCGGACACAACATCTTTGTTTGTATGTGGTGCTGAGGATCGAACCCCGGCCGCATGCACGCCAGGCGAGCGCACTACTGCTTGAGCCACATCCCCAGCCCGAATTTTGCAGATTCTGAAGCTTGTATGATCTTGACGCTTTGTTTCATCTCTGTTGCAGATGTTGCTGCAATAGCATGTGGTCGTGAATTCTTGGTTAATTCCAGTCGGGTGCTCTTGGACACAATGTTGCAGCTGCTGGGGGACTTGAAGCCCGGACAGTGCACCAAACTTAAAGTGTATGTAGATAATAGCTAATAATTCCTGTTGATTTTACATGTTACCTAGAATATGCTGATTTGGCCTCTCTTCAAGTAAATAGTTGATCTGGTAATCATTCTAAAAAATAGAAGAAATAAGTTACCTGGAGAATTTAAGGGGTGCACTATACTTAAGTAGTATTTTAGAAAAATAAATTAAGAAAAAGAATGTCCTCACCTTAGACATACTATCAATACTATCAAGTGACACTTCAGAGTTATATGAATGGTCTCAAAATGAACTTCAGTAGGTATTTGTTATGAAAATATCCTACTTCCAGGTACCAAAATCTGTATTTATGTTCTATTGTCTAACAAATTATGACAAAGTAAGTAGGTAAAGCAACACATATTTATTATCTCATAGTTCTGTAGGTCCGAAGTCTGAGCGGGCTTGACTGCGTTCTCTGCTTAGGGGTCTCATGGGGCTGAAATCCAGGTGGTGCCTGGCTGGATTCCTTCCAGAGGCTTGGGGAAGAATCTATTTCAGACATCTACAGGCTGCTGGCTGAATCCTACCCAGGCTGGCTGCGTTCCTTCTCTGTGGCCCCCAGCTTTGAGCCATATAACTCATTATTACCCTTACTCTTGAAGTTGCTCAGATTCCTCATTTATCCCAGCCAGATGATACTCTGCCTTTGACTGACATGTGTTTAGAGTAGGAATACCTGCATAAACCATTTTTAATTAACTTAGTCTGCTAATTAGCAACCTTAATTATACCTGCACAGCCCCTTTTGCCAGATAATTTAATATAATCTCAGGGTATGGTATATTTATAGTCCCARGGAGGACGGGGCCATTTTAGGGTTCTGCTGGCCACACCAGCATGTACTGTTACTTAGTGGAGCTTTTATTTTGTGTGTGCTAGAGATGGAGCCCAGGGACAATTTACTACTGAGCTATGTCCCCAGTTCTTTTTATTTTTTGTTTTGAGACAGGGTTTCACCAAATTGCTAAGGCTGACTTTTTTTTTTTTTAATTTAAATTTAATGATAGCTTCTTTAAAATCTGTTTCAGATACTTCTAGCATCTCTGTCATCCTGGTTTTGGTGTCCCTCGATTGTCTTTTTCCTCTCTGAGTTTGGATCTCCCTGTTTCTGTATGCTGAGTTATTTTGCTTTCATCCTGAGCATTTGGGACATTGTGGTACGAGACTCTGGGCCTAACTTAAACCATTTAGAAAATGCAGTCACCCAGCTAGGTTTGAGTTGCAAGGTGTAGCCAAAGGCCTTTTTGTGCTGCATTCACTGACTCCTGTTTCTAAAAAGCCTTTATCTGAATATCATAAGACAAAGCAATCTTTCTAGCACCCTTGTGTGTGTGTGCTGGAGGCCCATGTGGGACCTGAAGGATGGTCCCTCTTCTCTTTGAGTCCTTTAGGGGCTGTTTTTTTTTTTGGGGGGGGGGTGCCTGTTTTTAATGAGATCCACACAAGCACATATCTTGGGGAGAGGCCARGAGTTAAACCTTTGTGGAGTCACTTTCCTGAGCCCCTACCTCTTCACAATACCTTTTAAAACTGTGTGGTTACCTAGAACTCCCTCTTTCAGCTTTTGCCCTGCAAAGCTAGGGCTTGGTGTGCCCTGTTGTGTGTTCCTGCTGCTGCCGTCCCTGCCACTCTGCCCACAGCTGCTCAGCAGAGGGTGGGGCGCTGATCCTTCAGGGATGGGAAGAGTCCCCTTCTGCTGAGTGGGTTGCCTGGGGGCTCCCACTGCTATCACAAGGCTGATAGCAGACCCCTTTCTCTTTCCTCTGGCCTGAATCAGGGACTTTGTCCTGCTGCACTATGGGGCAGTGCTGCTGCTGGGTTTGGGGCCAGAGTCCAGGCCAGGGCAGCTGCTGTTTTTTTGAGCCTTCAAATTCTTTTTCCCCAATCTTTCTTTTACTGTTTACTTTTCAGAGACCTCAAGTAGCTGCTCCATGTGTTCTGTTCAGAATTTGTAGCTACATTCAGTAGAAACAAGTGAGCTTATGCCATGCTGTTTGGATCAGACTTCAGTTAATTTATTGTTTTGTGTAACACATCTATGCACATGAGCAATATGTGTACTACAGTATAGCACATACGTATGTATAGTTTTGTTTTGGGGATAGTTTTACAAATGGCCCGTGGATCTAGTTTATCTCATTTAGGTATCTAATGTCATACCAAAGCAAAGATAACATTTGGGTCATCCTTTCCCTGACTGAAGGGCATTCGGTGTTCTCAGGTTTTACTCTGCATCTGGAATGCTGCACCCTTGGCAGGTATCTCCTGGCTAACCTGTGTGAGTCCAAGGGTTTTCTTAGAAGTGTAGTATTTGAAAGGCAGAACATTCCCTTCTTCAGTACTGTGCAATGCTGTCTGTGTGCATACTTCCACCTGCAGTGTGTCTGCCCCGTGTCCTTGTCACTGCTACATTGTTGTATCCCATAAAGAGTATTTATGTTGTCTGTCATACTGTCTCCTGCCTCTTCCCTGTCAGTGAGAGTCCTTCCCTGAGTCACCTGCCCATGCCCTCTGTCCATTTCCTGTTGTGTCTCATGTTCATAATTATATGCTGCAGTTCCTGGTTCTGGATGCTGATCCCTTCCTTGCCTTCTTTGCTTCTGTGGTCTCTACAGGGTCTATGTTGAGGGGCCCTCCTGCAGCTTCAAGGATAGGCTTTGTGTCAGGGTTGGGTCCTTGCTAGCCTCTGGGGTCTAGTCCTTGGAGTTCTGTGTCTTTGGGTTCTAGTAAGCTCCTGTCGATTGCAGTGGGCTTGGGAGGAATTKCCTGCCAAGCCATTTACTTCCTTTCTCAGCAGCCTGCCAGTGTGGTATGCAGATGATTAGCCTCTAGTAGCTTGGGGTCTTGGCAGCCTATCCTGTGACATCTTCCTGCTAGTGGTTGGCTGCCTCCTGATCTGTGCTTTGATTGGTTGCCTCTCTCTTTTCCAGGGTGTCTCTTCTCCTGACCATCATCTGCACTGCTGACCCCCTACCTTGAGCCCTCTGGAACAGGACCTTTGCTGTGCTGTAAATAAGCGGCTTTACTGGGCCTCTCCTGCCTTGCCTAAACTGAAGCTTACTCTGCTCCACTCCTTTTTAGCAGCTGGTGCCTCAGACTGAGATGGAGTTAGCTTTCTGTAGTTGCTGGCTTTCTAAAGGCCATCTGTCTTCTACTCATAAAAAAATTCTCCTCCCAAATTCAAGCAACCAGTTATCTGCACATTCATTCTTTCTTCAAAGTTTATTTTTATTTTTTATGGGTGCATTATATGTACCAGTGGGATTCATTATGCCATATTTGTATAAATGCATAACATAATGAGATGAATTTCATCCCCCAGTACCTTCCCACATCCACATCCTTTCTCATCACTGTCCTTTTCTTTTTTTCTTTTTTAATATTTTTTTTTTTTTTTGGTTGTTGATGGACTTTTTTTATTCATTTATTTATATGCGCTGCTGAGAATCGAACCCAGTGCCTCACACATGTAAGGCAGGCTCTCTACCACTGAGCCACAACCCCAGCCCTCATCACTGTTCTTTTCTGACCATCAAAGCACTTCCCTTCTTTTATAAAGGATTGACTTATTAGTTTCCTCCTCCTCGATTCCATCTCCAGTTGCTGGAACATCCTGGGGGATGATTCCTTTAGCAATCTGACTCCAAGTCTCTTGCCTTCTTTGGTTCCCCAGATTTGATGTGGTCTTTACTGTTGTTGGTGCTCTTGTGACCTAGCTGCCCTGAGGTAGTCAACACTGCTGTGTGTTCAGCCTGCCCCTCAGTCCCTCTGCCTCCTCATCACACCATCTACCCCTGTGCATGCATCCCATCTCTACACAGGTTCAACCTTAAGCCAGGTCAGTCATCTACTTTCTCCTTCCCTATCACTAGGACTGCTATGTGATGCTTTAAGAAGGTCCCCAAATGTGTGGATTTGTGTTATTTCACCCTCTGCTGGGSCTCAGCACTTTTTGGATCCTGTTTTGTTCTTACTATTGTTTCTGCAGGGTCAAGGCAGACTTGGGGCACTCTGGGTGAGCTCCAATTCATCTCTGCTACATCTTCTTCATAGATGGGTGTCARATGCATGCAGAGAACAGAGAGTGTGAGTGTGGGCTGACTCACCCTGGTGGCTTCCTCCCTTGTGCCCACCTACCCTCTCTCTTCTCTCTTGTGTCAGGAGAAGTATGTGGAGCATGTATATGTTTGTGAACAGCTCTCCCTCCCTGCTTTTAGTTGGCTGTCCTCTGGGGTTGTGTTCAAGTCAGCATGTTCAGGTCTCTTTCCACTGGCTTTTCTGAGGCCTTTTCAAAACCTCCCTGTTGTGTTATGACGACCCATCAGCATGCTGGGGTCCACATCAAACTGTCTGCAGAGAAAAGTCCAAGGAATTCCCAGAGAGAAGAGGTCGGTATTAGTTGAAGATGCTTCTAGAAGTGTTTCTTCAAAATGCCCTAGGGAGTGGCAGTATTATGGAAGCAGTCATGGAGAGGCAGATACAAAGCCCATGCCTTTCCGYGTCCAGTGTGTTTTGCTTCTACCTCATGCCTTGCCATTCTGGGCAGCACTGCTGTGTTTTTGCACAGTTCTCTGTCCTCAGGCTTGATACTCAGGGAGGGCCTGGGAGTGCAGTGTGATCAGTGAGGTCAGCTGCTCACTCAGTCCTCACACCTGAGGACCAAGAATCCCCCCTGTCCAGGCTGCTGGTGTAGCTTTGTCTTCTCTGTTTTATGGGTTATGGTCACCCATGTTTGCTGTCTGTCAAAAGCTGTCCAAAATCTCTCTGTGCCTTTTGGTATTCTTACCCTCCTTTATGCAAGGACTGATTTGACGCCAATTGAAAAGAATCTTTAAATATGATTGTTTCTCCAAAGAATTTTAGTAAACACATCAGTAATCCTGAAAGGAAAAGAAGTCTGTTAATGTCTCAATACAAGAAGGGTGGTTTGGATGGCAGTCTCTTTTGACTTGGCAGGTAGAAACTTGATGCATTATTTACAGACATTTTTTGTTACATTGAAAGTGTCATATAGAGAAAGCACATGCACAAAAAACACATTCTGGGTTTGTGTTCTGCCAGCTTCTTTGTGACCTAGAGGTTAGTGGTCTTCTGAGAGGTATGACCTGATGATGTGGGGTCTCAGGTGGTACTATGTTTGCCTCAGTTACATTTGTTCCACTTTAGCTTCTTAAGATTGATGAGTTTTGATCAGATATGAAATTTTAAAGACATTTGTCATTTTGTGAGTTGGTTTTCGCACCCTAAAGCTAAATGACAATGGAGCTGAACTTACTTTCTGAGGTTTGCCTCATGTTACAGTTATCACCAGATAATAACTCTGCCTTTTGACCTCTAGAGAAGATTGATTTGTCTGTTTTCATACTGTAAATCAGAAATGAGCAGTTTTTTTTCTGTAAAGGGTTAGATAAAAAATATCTTGGGCTTTGTGGGCCTTTTGGTCTCTGGTGCAGTATCTTTGACCTGCTGTTGTAGCCTGCCATGAACCATACTTTTGCCTTTGTGGACCTCCAGCTGTGTTTATGATCTGAAGTAGGGGCCTTTCCCTTCTTGGAATTACTGCTTAGAGATCTCAGAAAATTAGTCACAGTGCCAAATTCTCCTCATGAGCGCTTCATCTGAGCAGCCCTTAATACTGCCTCAAGTTAGTTAGTAAATTAGTTACTAGTGAGTAACTTTGGGTTACCTATAAAAATCATCAGTGAGACCTGAAGCGGGGACTTCCAGAGGGCTGAGGGTCCTCACATCTTGAGGACTGAGAATCCCCTCCTCTAGGCTGCTGGTATAGCTTTGTCTTTTCTGTTGATTGTGGCTGTTGACTTTGAAAATGGAAGTGGGGTGGGGGGAGAGAAGGGTGCCTTGTCTGTGCATCGAGCCTGCTGAGTCTCTTGGTCAGCGGTGCTGATTCACTGTCTGGTACTGAGCTGGGGATTTACTGTGTCCTGTCTTAGTGTACTTGTCTGTGAGATGGTAAAAATAAGTAATGAGCTTGCTTCTGACAAACCGAGTTTAGTGGGGAAACTAAACACCTTAGCAAAAGACTCAACTTTTCTGTGGCATGCAGTTCACTTACTTAGTCTCTTATTAGAAGACTGGATCAGTATTACTGATTTCCTGGCATGGTACTGTTATCAATTCCATCTTTATTTGAAAATTTGCTATAGTCTTTGTTATGGAATTTTTGCATTAATTTTGATTTTTTTTTTTTTGGAGGTATTGGGGATTGAACTTAGGGGTGATTAACTACTAAGCCATATCCCTAGTCCTTTTGATTTAAAAAAWTTTTTTTTAGATGTTGAGGGACCTTTATTTTATCCATTTATTTATATGCAGTGTTGAGAATTGAACTCGGTGCCTCACACATGCTGGGCAAGTGCTGTACCACTGAACCACAACCCCAGACCCCTTTTGACTTTTTTTTTTAATATTTATTTTTTTTAGTTGTAGTTGGACACAATGCCTTTATTTTATTGATTTACTTTTATGTGGTGCTTAGGATCAAACCCAGGGCCTTTCATGTGCTAGATGAGCACACTACTGCTGAGCCACCCTAGCCCTCCTTTTGATTTTTTGAGACAGGGTCTCACTAAGTTGATCAGGCTGGCCTCCAATTTGTGATCATTGTGTCTCAGCCCTCCTGCGTCACGGGGATTACAGACATGTACTACCACATCTGGCACATTAATTTGGATTTAAAAAAAATAATGAATTATTTTATCTTAAAAAAACATGGCCACTGAATATGTTTCTCAGTGCCTTAAATTTGTGCCCAAAGTAAGTGCCTTCCTTTTCCACTTCCTAGTTGTCTCTGCCAGGTACATTTTTGATGGTCTGTGTACTAAACATTGTGGGGACTCTGGGCTCTGCTGTCTTTTTCTCAGATAAAGAGAATTGATGCTTGTCCTGGTGGGCCGTTAGCTTTGCCCAGAGATCAGTGGACTTACTCTCCCCTTTGGCTTCTGAGAGTCTGCAGTACATGCTCAGTTGGTAGAGTGACTGCCTTGTATGCACAAAGCCCTGGGTTCAATCCCTAGCAGCATACACACATACACACACATACACACACCCACACACACAAGAAAGATCATTGATTTAGTGTCTCATCTAGTGTAATAGTCACTCATCTGTGCCTTTTACTAGGAATATCCCATTGACATTTGCAGCTAGTGAGATTCTTGGGTTTATGTTTATTTTGTCCATGTTTTGTTTCTGTTTATTATGACTTTTTTTCTGAGTTCTTTTTCTAATCTCTCCAACCCCTTATCCCCTTCCTCCCACTTTCCTTCTTCCTTTTTTCTTCTGTGGAATTCACTGAGATCTTTTTTGATGTCCATTATCTTTCCAAGGATCTTGAAAGTTATCTCTTTTTTTTTTTTTTTTTTTTAGTGATAAGCCCTTTAAAATTGTGCTTTGTTACACACCTGAAAGCATTAATGCCTCTCTCCTGTCCTGGTCGATGCTTTTCCTTATAGCTCACAGAGATCTTCTGAGATCATTTTCTTAGTTTCTGAAGTCTGTTCTTCAAATTCTTTTAGTTCAGGTTTGTTGGTGGTAACATCTCTGAGGTTTTCTTTGGTAATATTTTTACTTAACCTCATTTGCTGAAACTGCTTTTGGTGGGTTTACAATTCTAAATCTGCTGTAAGTGCCTCTGTACTTGGAAGCTGTGCTCTTCCTGTCTTTGGTTCCCGTTTTTTGTTGTCAAGAGCCCAGCTTCAGTGCACTTGCCCCATTGTAGGTGATGTGTCTTTTCTCTGGCTGCTATAAAATCTTTGGTGATCTGAGGTTGAATTGTGATGTTTAGGTTTGCATTTATGTTTGTCTGTGAAATTTTTTGTGTGCCTTTTGAATCTGAGGGTTTAGATTTGCTTGTTTCTGGATGAGTTTTTGCCTTTATCTTTCTGAAACAAACTTTTTCCTCTCCCATTCTTTCTGTTCTTTCTTTTCAGAATCCTAATTGGAAGAATGTTGAACATTTTCACTGTCCTGTCATCCACCTTTTTTTCTACCATGTTTTTGGTTTAATATTTTCTAAGTGTCCAGTTACCCTTGAGTTTTGCAGTTTTATAATTCATTTCTGTGTTATTTTTTTGATTGCTCAGTCATTCATAATAGTAGCCCTAGCTTCTTGTTCATGTTTTAATTTCTTTTCTTTTTTTTTTGGTATCAGGGATTGAACTCAGAGGTACTCAACCACTGAGCCCCATCCCAGCCCTATTTTGTATTTTATTTAGAAACAGGGTCTCACTGAGTTGCTTAGTGCCTTGCCATTGCAGAGCTGGCTTTGAACTCGTGATCCTCCTGCTTTAGCCTCCCGAGCTGCTGGGATTACAGGTGTGCACCATCACACCCATCGATGTTTTAATTTCTTTTCATTGTTTTCATGTATGAAACATCTGTTTTCTGTTTTGCATTTGATACTTGCAGGAGCTGAGAACTTTTTTGTTCTGGTTGTCAGTGGGTCCTTTTGCTGGCTGTTACTTGTAGTGTCTTGTTTTTTTCACAAGTTTTGCTGTGGTATGTGTTATGGGGATTCTGTGAAGACCAGGTGGAAGCTGACCTGGCTGCCTGATGCCAGGCTTCATAGTCAATGAATGGGAAGATGCTGTTAGATATCAGATGGCTGTATTGAACTTAGAGGTGCAACACACTTATGACTTGAGAGTTACCTCTATACAAATGCAGGTTTGGTACTAAGAGAGTGAGCAATCAAGAAATATGGCGTGTGAGGTTTCTCATGGAATCCTCTCTGCCTTGTTTCTCTTGGCAATGTGAGCCTATAGGAGRTGGTGGTGTGGCGTCATTGCTGAAGGTGCCCACTTCACATAGACGAGTAGTGCTTCCTGTATTTTAAACTTAATATATGCCCTATCCAGGTGGTGGAGTTGGGCATCTGAGATGGGAGAAAGTCTCTGGGTATGTTCAGGCCCTCTGGAATAGGAGACAGAGTTAGAGTGAGATACAATGTGGGTTTACCTGCATGTCAACACCGTTTTCTTTTGCATTTCAGGTTAATGTTGATGTCCCTGTACAATGTGAGCATCAATTTGAAAGGCTTGAAATACATCAGTGAGAGCCCTGGATTCATTCCTTTGCTCTGGTGGCTTTTGAATGGTAAGTGGTGGTCAGCTTTTTGCACAGTTGTGTGCTCTGCTTCTGCAGGGGAGGGCGTATCAGTGTATTAGAAACTAGAAGTGATTATCTCAGGGCATTAGTTCTTTAACAAATGACTGCAAACTTAAGAAAATTCATTGGTGTGCTAAGTGGTTTTTAGTGCTGATTCTCAAGTGTTCCTTTTGATTTAGTTGGGATGTGTTGTGAGCTATGATACAGAGAAGATTATTATATAAAATAGCATACACCTTCCCTTTCTCTCCGAGTAAAACAGTATTGTATGTGGTATCTGCAGCAGGAGAAGTCCTGTCATTATAAAGAATTTGGGAAAAGAGAAATTGGAGAAATATTGCAACTCTGAAGTTATATCTATCTATGTGTATGTGTCTGTTCAGATTTTCTTTAGGGCTGGGGGTGTGGTTTATGCAAAAAAAAACTTGACTTTCCTTGTTGTTTCATAATTCAAATCTATTTTTGAGCTTCACTTCTACTTGGTGGTGACTACTTACTTTTTCTAATAGGTTTATCAGGGCATGATTGGCATGCAGAAATTCCCATACATTAAAAGTTGAACAATTGATAAATTTTGATACAAATAGTTACCCATGAAATCATGACCATAGTCAAGGTAATGCAAATCCATTACCCTTGAAAGGCACTTTGGGCACTCTGTGCCCCCTTCCTTCCAGAGAGCCATTTACTTTCTGCACTGTAGTTTTGTTTTTATTTTCCATGCTTTTAAATAAATAGAATCATAGTTTGTATTCTTTTCTGCCAGCTTCTTTCACTCAGCATGATTATTTTGAGACCCACCCATGTTTTTATGTGCGTTAATAGTTCATTACTTATTACTAAGTAGTATGTCTTATGAAGATGTATCATGGTGTATTTATTCGGCTGCTGTTTGTTGGATATTTGGGTCATCTCCATCTTTGGGCTATTGCAGATACAGCTACTGTGAGCATTCTTTCATGGGTCTTTGAATGGCCATGTACTTTTATTTCTCTTGGGTAAATATTTAGGGAGTAAAGTGGCTGAGTTGTATGATAGGTGAATGTTAATTTTTCTCTTTTTGTTTTTTATTTTTGTGGTGCTGGGGTTGGAATCTAGAGCCTTGGACATGCTAAGCAAGTGCTCTACCACTGAGCTACACCCCCAGCCCTGTCTGTCAGTTTTTTGTGAAACTAGCAAATTGTCTTCCAGAGTGACTAAACCATTCTAGTTTAGCATATCCTCACCMGTGCTTGGTCCAGTCCTCTTGTTCAGTTGTGTTCAGTCAGTGTATTCAGTAGTGAAGTAGAGTACTACAGTGGATACTCTGCTGTGGTTAGCATGCATTTTTGTTGTCACTAATGGTGTCAAGCATTTTTTTTCACTGTGGTTCTTTGCCATTTGTATAGGTTTTGCTGCTGCTACTTTTTTCTTTTCTTTTTTTTTTTTTTTTTTCCTTTTTTGGCAGTGCTGGGGACAGAACCCAGACCTAAAAAATGCTAGGCAAGTGCTCTTCTGCTGAGCTACATCCCCAGCCCCATGTATCTTCTTTGATGAAATGTCTATTCCTGTCTTTTGCCATTATTTATTTTTTTTATTTAACACTATTATTAGGCTGGGGATGTGGCTCAAGCGGTAGTGCGCTTGCCTGGCATGCATGCGGCCCGGGTTCGATCCTCAGCACCACATACAAACAACCATGTTGTGTCCGCCAAAAACTGAAAAATAAATATTAAATAATTCTCTCTCCTCCTTCTCTCTCTCTCTCTCTCTCTCTCTCTCTAAAAAAAAAAAAAAACAAAAAAACTATTATTTATATAACCATTATTTATTTATTTTTATTTAATGTTATTTCTTTTTTTTTAAAACACTTATTTTTTAGCTGTAGGTGGACACAATGCCTTTATTTTATTTTTATTGGTGCTGAAGATTGAACCCAGTGCCTCACGCATGCTAGGCGAGCTCTCTTGCTCTGAGCCATAACCCCAGTCCCTGGGTTATTTCTTGTTATCAAGAATTCTTGGCATGTTTTATATATGAGTCTTTGTCAGGTATGTAGTAAAACACATTTTCTCACAGTTTATGGCATGCCTTTTATTCTCTTAATGAGCATTTCTAAAGAGCAAAATCAATTTTGATTTTGGTAAAATTTAATATATCTTCTTTCTCTTCTAGGAATCATGGTTTTGGTGTAGAATGCATTGCCCAAATCAAGATTGCAAGGGTTTTCTAATGGGTTTCTTYTAATAGTTTTCTGGTTTTACATTTTACATTGTGTATAGGACCTATTTTGATATTTGTGTGTGGTGTCTTGTGCATAAGGCTTTCTTAGCTTCCTGAGCACCTTTGGATTGAACTGTGAACTGCCTTTACCTCTGTGTTGAGAGTCAACTATTCATACACAGGAGGGGCTGTTGATAGACTAACTTCTGTTCCATTGATCCAGTTCCATATCGTTATGCTATTACCACACTATATAATAGTCTTGATAGCTTTGTAATAAATGTTAAGTCAGGTAGTGTAAATCCTCCAGATTTGTTATTCTTCAAAGTTATTTTGGTTATTTGTAAGCCCTTAGCCTTTCCATATGAATTTGAGAATGAGTTTGTCATACTCTACCAAAAATGTTCCTGGAGTTTTTATTGTGATGGTGTTGGATCTATAGTTCTATTAGGGAAGAATTTTAACAGCAACAGTATCGGTCTTAATGTGAGAGAAAATAACTGCCAACCTGAATTTTACCTTCCCTTTTCCCATACGTTTCAAGGGTAAGGGTGAAATGAAGGTGTTTCAGGCAAATAAAACCAAGAGCATTGTTACCTATAACCCCCCCCCCCCACCCCAGTGGGCAGTTCTAAGGACATGCTTCTGGAGGAGTGCGGTTAGAAAGAGGACAGGATGCACATCATGGTCAGAGAGCATCTTCTAAAAGACAGCTGTGGAAGCACAGTGGGAGCCAAAACCAGCAGAGTGGGAGCATCCACAGAGGAGCACTCTGAGGTCTGTGGAGCAGGAATGCAAGACACTACTTGTGGGCTTTTGACATTCGCAGGTTGAATGGAGATGATACAAAAAAGGGCACATTCCTGTACCATTTTGTAGGCCAAAATGGAATGTGAAAATAACTTAAAGGATGATAAGCAGAGTGCTGCACATGGGATTACAACCTCAGGTTTTTATTTTTTATTTTATTTATTTATTTGGTACCAGAGTTTGAATCCAGGGACACTTAACCACTGAGCCACATCCCCAGACCTTTTTATTTTTTATTTTGAGGCAGGGTGTCTCTAAGTTTCGTAGGGCCCGGCTAACATGCTGAGGCTGGCCTTGAATTTTAATCCTCCTGCTTCAGCCTGGAACTGCTGGGATCACAGGTGTGCACCACCACACCTATACCTCAGCTTTTTTTTTTTTTTTTTTTTTGAGGTTTATAACATATGTGTGACTCAAGGGCACTCGACCACTGAGACACATCCCCAGCCCTATTTTTTTGTATTTTATTTAGAGACAGGGTTTCACTGAATTATTTAGTGCCTTGCTTTTGCTGAGGCTGTCTTTGAACTCATGATCTCCTGCCTCAGCTTCCTGAGCCACTGGGATTACAGGCAAGTACCACTGTGCCCCGATGAACCTCCTCTTTTTAATTGTAGTAATATGTAATGTGATTGGCAACACAGTTGGGTTTAACCTTATCTTGCTGCTTGCTTTCTTGCTGTCCTCTCTGTTCTTTGTTTCCCTTCCCCCCTTAATTCCAGCTTTTTCCTGCATTAACTTAAGTATTATTTTGTGATTTCACCTGATTAGCTTTGTCCCCTTTCCTCATAGTGGTGTAGGCTGGAGAGTACATTTAGCTGCTTTCTGTGCAGACGCACCTCTTGCTGTTGGCCATTGTATGGTCTTCCATCTTTTCACTGTTATTGTCACATATATGTTGTAAACCTCAAAATGCACTTTTTTTTTTTTGCTTTAAAGAACTGCTTTTGGGTTGGGGATGTGGCTCAAGTGGGAGCGCGCTTGCCTAGCATGCGTGAGGCACTGGGTTCTAATCTCAGCACCACATAAGTGTGAAATAAAGATACTGTGTCCACCTAAAACTAAAGAAGTAAATATTAAAAAAAAAAGAACTGCTTGTTTTTGGATGCATCATGCATAAATGGGGTATAGCTTTTCATTCTTCTGGTTGTACATGATGTAGAGTTACACAGGATGTGTAATCATATAAGCACATAGGGTAATAATGTCCGATTCATTCTACTATCATTTCTACCCCCAATACACCCTCCCCTTCCTTCACTCCCCTCTGCCTAATCCAGAGTACCTCTATTCTTTCCTGCCCTCCCATTGTGAATTAGAATCTGCATATCAGAGAAAACATTAGGCCTTTGGTTCTTTGGGATTGGCTTATTTTGCTTAGCATAGTATTCTCTAATTCCATCCATTTACTGGCAAATGCCATAATTTCATTCTTATTTAAGGCTGAGTAATAATCCATTGTGTATGTACACCACAATTTCTTTATCCATTCATCTGTTGAAGGGCATCTAGATTGATTCCATAGTTTAGCTATTGTAAATTGAGCTGCTATAAATATTGATGTGGCTACGTCACTTTAATATGCTGTTTTAAGTCCTTTGAGTATAAACTGAGGAGTGGGATAACTGAGTCAACTGGTGGTTCCATTCCAGATAATCTGGTGAATCTCCAGACTGCTTTCCAGAGTGGTTGCACCGATTTGAAGTCCCACCTGCAATGTATAAGTGTACCCTTTTCCCCACATCCTTGCCAATATTTTTTGTTGCTTGTATTCTTAATACATTCTAACTGAGTGAGATAGAATTTCAGTCTAGTTTTGGTTTACATTTCTCTAATTACTAGAGATGGTAAACATTTTTTGGGGTGTTTGTTGATAGATTGTATTTCTTCTTCTGTGAAGTGTCTGTTCAGTTCCTTTGCCCATTTATTAATTGGATTATTTGTGTTTTGGTGTTTTTTGAGTTCTTTATATGTCC